CACACACACACACACACACACACACACACACACACACACACACACACACACTGTCTGCCTTTCTCCATGTGTCTCACACGGTCCCAATTCCTTTTATAAAATCGTTCTGTTCACCTATCGACTAATTTGGAACATGATTTGTCTTGCATGGACTCAATCCGACCAATCTGATTTATAGTGTGCAGTGGATATTAGGCAATAGACTAGCAAGCAACATTCAAGCTGACAATGATAAAAAAAGACTGCATGAAAACCATTGTTTGGGCCGTCGGCTTCTTCTAATCTTTAATAAATTCCTCTTAAAAGCTTAAGAGCCATATACCCTGTACAAAATCACTTCGAAAATTAAGGTTGGCATCTGAAATACATAATTTTGTCATACTAATAGATTATTTCAGATTTGTAGAAGCAGGCATGCGTATAATCTTAATTCTTACTCTTAGTTTGCAGCACGCAAGTTTAGATGGCCTACGACATTGCTTGGTTGTTTACTGTCATATCAATATCCTTAAAGCCCAGTATATATCCATTTGATCTAAAACCAAGCTTTCATGTTTTTGTGAGTTTAGCAATATAATATTAATACTATTGTACATATTATAATATGGGAAAACTGGAAAATATGTAAGTTAAAGCGAAGTTATTGAGAATTTTATGATGCAAAAATAATGGATGACATAACTGGCCCCAATACAGCATTTGGAATAGCCTGCCGGATACCTTAGAGTAAAAAACAACAACAACGGTATACTGATCCAAACTGAAACCTGGATACATGGCCTTACTGTATTCTCAAGCCCCCTTTCATGTAGATATCGCACAACTTTTAATAAATACTGGAAACTACCGAGACATCTTTCAATTAACGGTATCATTTTTTTTCATACTCTTCGATAACTTCAAATTTAGATTTAAAAAAGTAAATGTATAGGGTTAACGTCCTTTTCAACACTATTTGGTTATTTAGGAGTTGGTGAATCCGAATTGAACGTCTGTCTCTGATATGATCAAGCCAAATAGGTTGAAAACTATGAAAACTCCATAAAACGAATTGAGTTTAAAAAATGCCCAGTCTGGGATTTGAACCAGGGCTACCCGCTTTGTTGTCCAGCATGATAACAGCTAAACTAACGGAGAGCCAACTTTAAATCGCTACCCCAGAATTACAAAATTCTATCTGATAATATTGGCCTTTTTGGGTTACTAAGGCCATGAGATCAGAATGCTCTATCTGCTCAATCAAAATCGTAAGAATATTCGGAGTTGTTTTCAAGATATTCAAAGAATTGTATTTGAAAAAGCTTAACATAATTATTGTGACACTCACAAATTTGTCGTCAAATTCTTACAACTAGGTAGGCCTACTGGGCAGTGAGAACTTTGTAATTGTCAGGTAACGGGATGTGTAGCAGCAGGCATGGCGTATCAAATCTGAAGAGATAAGTAGCCTACACTATTACCATGACCTATACAAACCTCGGGAACAGTAACTTGGTACAATCTTTTCTCGAACCTTGGTGGCTCATCAGGTAGATCTCTCACAATTATTACCGCGCTGCCGACCTGGTCCACCTGTAGATTTGTAAATTTGGCGGATTAAAACTACAATCAAAATTGTCTAAGACCCTCATCCATCATCGTCGATGACAAAAGTGGGCGTCATTTCCAAATTAGGGAAGTAAGTAAGTGGGGGAAAATATGCACAAAAGCAGGCTGCATAAATATTATGATCAGAATACATCGAAGAGTTTTATGAGTCATTCTACGACAATGTTGGCTCCCTATACCCGAAAAGAAGGAGAAAAAAAGCCTAACTAAAACCTAGAAATTTTTAGATCTGGCGCTTTACGATGATGAATCCACAAAGTGGAGGAGAAGGAAGAGGAGGAGAATGAGGAGGAGGAGGAGAATGAGGAGGAGGAGGAGGAGGAAAAGAGGAAAAAAAGGGAAATAACAAAAGTGAAATCGGATGGAACGAGGTAGTGTGTGTGTGTGTGTGTGTGTGTG